TTAGATTGGATGTTAGGAAAAATTTCTTCACTGAAAGGGTTGTCAGGCATTGAAAGGGGCTGCCCAGGAAGGTGGTTGAGTCACCATCCCTGGAGGTATTTAAGGGACGTGTAGCTGTGGTGCTTGGGGACATGGTGTAGTAGTGGACTTGGCAGTGCTGGGTTAATGGATGGACCTGATGATCTTGATAGTCTTTTCCAACCTAAAAGATTGTGTGATTCTAAAGTAGGACATGTTGGAGCTGAATGCAGGCTGCAAATAAGATGAATCCATTCGAGTTCCAGAGACCAAAATCTCTTTCTAAGGAGAGATGGTTATCTTTTCATAGGATGCTAATTCCATAGATCACTCTAAATAATTTCTTGTCATCCCCTGGCAGCATCCTTTGTTCATTGACTCAATTTATTTTAACTGGTCTTTTTCCTCTACATAATTTATTGTCTGGTTCTCCTAGAAAAGTTACAAAATCTACTCCAACTTTATTTGTTTAATAGTAAGTCTTTGCATGTGTACCTTTTTTTATTTCAGGACTGCCAGCCATAAATGTTCCTACAGCCCTTTCAGAGAGAGGCTTGCCTGTTGGGCTTCAGTTCATTGGACGTTCATTCCAGGAGAAGCAGCTTCTCACTGTAGCCAAATGGTTTGAAAAACGAGTAAAATTCCCAGCAATCCAACTAGAAGAAGTGGAGAGGCATGACCATGGTGTCCTTCAGCATCAGAAATCTGCTTCTTTTTCGTAGCATAGGACTTGCTGGTCACATAAAGCAAGAAAGCTGTGGGGATGGTCTAAAACTGTATTCCTGCAGTTAATTCTCTTTTGCAGAAATAATAATCCATTTTAAGAAGACCATATGCAGTAATGCAGGATGGAATCATAACAGCTTGTTACTGTGTAATTAAGGCAAAGTGAATCATTAAGTAAACATGTCTGTGTTATTAAGAACCATTTCTAACTGATATTAAAACCACCAAATTGAAATTATGTAGCTTATGCCTGTGGAGCTGCTTTTTTCCATCCCCAGAGGGTAAGGTGTCTGGCCTATTGAAGGACTAACCTGAACTTTCATGTCAAAACTGCATGCTTGCCAGAGGGCTTGGTTTCCTTCTGGAGCAGAGACTTTTCTAATGGCAACAACCAGGCAAGCTGGAATGGAACAAAGGTATCAAGGATCTGTTGACCAACAGGTAAACACAAAAAGAAACAGGGGAATAACATACAGAGAGTTCATTTAAAAAAACCCCACCTCCCCACTTCTAAGAGAGGTGAAATAACCTCCAGGTTTACAAATCATGTGGATAACTCTGGTTATATCCCTTGTAAGAATGGTCAATTCCAGTTTTCTTCTGGGGAAAGGTGCCTAGTAGTTATTTTCTTCTTCCTTCATCACTGTTCTTTATAATCAGCATTTAAATTTAATGCTTAAAAAGAAATTATCTGCTTCACATTAACTATCCCTAAGAGTAGACTGACTACCTGTTCCTTCATGGAGAGTCATTCAGCACAATTGTAATTTGAAACAAATTTCCAAGCCGTAATGTTGGTAGACTGGAAGACCTTCCAAACAACTAATAACCTGTTCTGAATGTTGTAGTTTCCACTTTCCAAAATTTGAAAAAGTATGAAGGATTGAGTTTGTAGGGTTGTTTTTACATCAGATTTGCTTTCAGTCAGTTGACAGCCTGCACAGAAGTGAAAAGTGTAGGGTGGTGAAAACGGCTGAGATGTGATCTGATATGGTACATGCTGTATTTTCCCGAATTACGTTTTCCCACGTGACTAAAATCTAAAAAGTAAACTTAAATTTTTAATGTAAATATTAAAAAATGAAGGTACACTTTGTTTCTGGTCTGATGCCATCTCACTTCTTTTCGTAGAACGGTCTTCAGGGAACTTGCTTTTTCTGTAAGTGGGCGATGATGAAATAGGGTTTCCAACTGACTCTCTTCCCCGTTGTCCTGTTCAATAATTTTGGTATGCTCTAATCATACTGTCACTGTGTGCATCTCTTCTTACAGCAGCTTGCTGACCACAGCTCTCAGTGAGGTTATCTGTTACCAAGTTGGGATACCTGGATGTAGACTTGGAATACCTGGTCTTTGATTTGCAGTCACGTCCCAAACCCAGACCTACCAATTGCTGTTCCTAAAAGTAAAGGTCAGTGTCTTTTGCCCAGAGTTTGAGATAAAATCCTGGCTGCAGAGAGCATTCCTGGGGGGACATGAAGAGCTTTGAAGTGTTACTCACAAAAGAGAACAAGCAGAGAATTGCGTTCTCCCTTGGTAATTAACTCTGGACTGACTTCTGGCCCAGAGGAAAATGCCTGCTTATGCTTGATGAGCTTTCTCTTAATGCTTCCCCTGATGTTAAGAGAACTCAGATGTTAGCACTGGATCAAGGCAAAAACCCCCACTCTGTTTCCCAAGCAGCTAGAGAAGGAGTAGGTGAAGGGGGACTGTTCTTATACCCGTACTACTGTGGCATCAGAGCCCTGCTTTTTTTTGGTGTCCAGCATCCTCTGAAGGAGCATTCAGATGATCGGAGCAGTCGGCGGTTCTGACACAGGTCCTTCGGTTTCTTCTATTGGTAGATCTCTGAGTGTAGGGTAACTGCAGTGAAATGCACAGTAGAGAAGGTACAAGCCAGGCAAGGGGACATCCATTCTGCAACTCTGAATAGCGTGGCATTCGTAACTTTTTGCTAGTGGTTTAGACCCACCTTTGAATTAAAGGTTGTAGACTTGAAAACATAACTCCTGGGTAGATACTTAGAAATTTCTGGGCTACTAGATTCGAGGCAGCCCCAACAAGGCTTCTGCCCTGCTCCCATTCCCACCCGTGTTGCGTTTTTGGGGACCATATACCTGAGGATTTTTCTGCCCTTCCCTGTCTAATGCTGAAATTTCACCAAGCCAGAGGTGAGAGCTTGAGAACCAGCATGGTCGAGCAGCTTCAGGGTGTAAGCAAGAGCTCCTCAGGTTTTGCAAGAGGATATCTAAAAGACTTTTGCTGCCTTCATATTAGAAAACGATTTCAAAGTAGTTGTGACCCTGGGTCCCTCAGCATTTCCTGAAGTGGCCTCACAGCACAGCTTACTTGTAGAGGTAGCAGTTGAGGGGCACCTCTGAGCAGAGCTTTGTGCAGCCACCACTAGTGCCAAGTTGTGGCTCCAGCATTACAAACATTAAACTTTCTCACAGATAATTAGACTCTGAAACCCCCTTGTTACAAAAGTAGAGGAAATCCAGGGAGAAGGAAGGTCTGGGGATAGAAAAATAGAGGGAGAAAACCCCTGCCTATACCAATGTTTTGTACAGCTGCCTTGATAAACAATTTGCTGAGATTGTGGAGTTGAAAGTTTTATGGCATTGCGGCAGAGCCACAGCAGGGGGTAGGTGTAACCTTAGCACACGGTGAACCCAGATAATTCCAGTGTTTCCTGAAGGAAACAAAAGCTAGGGCTTTAGCAAACAAGCAACCTGCTTAAATGTTTGAGGGTGCAGAATTTTTTCTTATGATGAAAAACCATAAGGACATCGTAATGTGGGAAAGTTACTTCTGAGAAGAAAATTGTTAAGAGCTTTTGCTGTAGGTTGTTTTTAAATACAGCTGCAATCCGATGTTGCAGTTTATGCAGTTCCCGTGTATGTGTTTTTCCCTTGCCCTCCTTAACAGACTCGTAGTAAGGAGAAAATCACAGAAAATTTTAACCTGATGGCTGCTACTTCTCTTTTCTTGCCTTTCTCAGTTTTCAGGCTTCGGACACAGTAGTTACGCTGACTTCACTGTAGCTTCCCGTTACATAGTGGTAGTCACTTCTCCATCGCTTTTATGATTCACCTAGGAACTAATCTGTCTGGTAAGATGCTGTAATGAGGGATGGACTTTGTAGCCTACCTGGGGGTGTCCTAGAGGCCCCCGCTTCAGCTGTGCATCCCAAAATACTGAGAGCAGTACCCTTGGACTCACATGCTGGGGATGGGCAGCTGAAAAAGGATGAAGTGGTGTGCACAGCATGTCTGAAAGGCACTGCTGGGGTTATACGACAGTCATATTTCATCTTCAACTGGTGCCCACAGTGCCAGCAGAGAGGGCAGGGAAACAAGCAAAAAAGTCAGGGGAGCAAAAAAAGGTTATCTAAGTTTGTTGTTTTTCAGCGTGTATCTCGACTGGAGAGGAAGGTATCCAATTACAGGAATGTTAGCGGGAGGAAATGAAAAACACTTAAAATCATTTTAATTAGCTTACCACACCTTCACTTGACTAATGTCCAGGTGCAATTAAGGAATTCCAAGCTAACTATTTCTTTTGTAAACAGAAGAAAGTTGGGTTTTTTTCCCACCCAGCATTGGGCATCCTCCTGTGCTCGCTGTTGAGCGGCGCTAAAAGGTGGCTGTGGCTCAGCGGTGCGCGGCATTCAGCGAACGCAGCAGGAACCCAGCCAGGGCTTCGCCTGGTCCTGCGCGCGGTTTCAAAGCCCGGGCTGAGCTCCAGTTCCTGTGTCAGTGCTGTAGGGTCACAAGCAAATGCCACGGCACAATATGCAAAGAATTGGACTTCAAAGCGTTGGGAACTTGCTTTTTTTTTTTTTTGGTTGGTGAACAGATTTGTGTGGCCTGCCTTGCTGTGCTGATCGTGACGTATGGTGGGACAGGTTGCTGTCACGCGTGTCGGCTCCAACACCCGGGGCGGTGGTGGAGACTCCTGGGTTGGGTGCCCCTCTTCGGGGGGGTGCATGGTGGTGGGAGAGGAAAAGGGCTTGGAGTTACAGGGCAGAGGAGGGACTGGCTGAAAGGCTGCTGCAGGCGGATGTCAAAGGTGCAGCGGTGAGGAAGCTGGAGCAGAGGGGGTAGGTGGTGAGTACCAGCTGGCAGCAACTGGGCACCCAACCTGCACTGCACTGTGACCTGGGGCAGCTGCCAGGTCACAACTGCTGTTTGCCAACACACTCAACCCAAGTGGGAGACAAGCTCCTGCGCTGCAGTGTATGGAGTAAAAGCACCAGGCACTTTGTTGTGCCACCCAAGACATGATGTTTCAGCTTGGAAGGAGAGACAGAGAAGTACAGAAGTTCTCTAGGGAGGCTGTGAAACACCAGGAGGTAGAAAACACACACAAGAGGAGAAGGATTAAATGTCATGGGAACTGGTAACTCCTTTGAAAAGCCAGAGGGTTGGTAGAGGAAGATTGAAGAGATAAAGGACAAGGAGATGAGGAAGCAGAAGTATTCTGGTGAAGGAGGGGCACCAACTTCATGTTCCTAAGTTGAAATCTTTGCAGGTGGGTACCTTTGTGAATTGCACCTCTCTGAACTACAGAGTCTGCTTGATTTAGTCCAAGACCAGAGTTTTTAAGACTTGCATTTGCAAGCTTTTAGTCCAAAAGCGAGTGCTATTCAGGCACACATAATACATGCTTAACAAAAACCAAAGTGAAAGCATGTTATTAACAATATACTTCAGGAGGCCCAGGAACACACTGCAGCAGGGACCTCCTGGGCTCAATTTCACTTTATAGGTAACTATTTCATAAAGTCCTCTCCATGAATTTATTAAAATCTATCTAAAGAGTATTTTGGTTTCTTTCTCCTGTTAGTATTACAGAACCTTTCGTTAGAAACTTTGATCACAGGCAAGCCACGCACACCTATTTGCTCAAGGCAACATTGTTCTTTTGTTTAAATGTGCCTTCTCTCTCCTTGTGTTTAATTCACTCCTGTATTTGTAGAGCACAGTTGCATTCTTCCTACGCCTTTGTTCTGCCAGGACGAATAAGTCAAGCCCTTCCACTTTTCTCTTGTATATTAAGAGTGCCCAGTGCTAATCCCTGTAGCCGTTCACTGCACCTGCTCCAGCTGAATTCATCCATCTTCCAACATGGGTGATGAATATTGTAAAGACTACTCCAGGTGCAGTTTTACAAGTGCAACAACGTTAATATTTCCCCATTGCTCTTGAAAAATTCCTACCCAGAACACTCTGGAATCGCACTGGTCTTTTACTCAGCCACATTACACCAGTA